ATGCAATCTTTTCGATCAGGTTAGAAGATATTCAGAAGATATTGCTGCGTGATCCCCAAGGACTTATCTTCTTCACGTGCATCTCATGTGCATGGGCCATAACAACTGTGTCTCCTAAGATGGACCTGGTCCTTCACTGAGTTCATTTGTCATTCTTCAAAACTTCAACTGATCTTGGGCCAACAGAGGTCGTACTCGAGCTCCTTCAATGAGGGATTACCCCCCTCAGAGTGTTGCTGTACAGGATGTGATCTCTTCCCGGCCTATCTACCACCTTCTAGACGAGTCTTCTAATGGAGAGGAGTCGCCATCGAGAAAGAGGCATAGAATAGNCTAAGATTTGTTAGAACATTATTAACCAATCCCTTTTGGAGACATTTTACTACTATACTATCATTGACTAGCGAGCATACACTTTACACACCGGTTTTGCGCTCATCAAATTTGGTCGTTGCCGAGGATTGCGATTATAGTGTTAATATTTCAGTGCTAATTCAGGAAAACTTTATTTTCTTTCCTTTTTTACGCTCTTCTCATCTGTGTGCAGGCAACAGGTTAAGTTCAGCGGTGTATGACTCGATCCTCTTCAAAGGACTTGGTGCCATATGACCCAGAGTTAGACAAGCACCTGAGGCAATTGAGAAGAGACAAAGGAGTGAGTGGATTGTTGTTGGGTCAGCCTTTACCTCAGGATACAATGGTGAACAACAAAGAGGTAATGGACCTAACTGCGAGAGAGGCGACTCAGCAATAGGAAGCACGGTTAGCAACTGAAGCAGCCCTTAGAATTACGGATGAAATGGTTGACGGGGATCGAAGGTTCAATATCAACTGAAACATGATCGAGGTGAATTTGAAAATGCAGTTCCTAGGCCTGGAGATTGTTAGGAGATTATGCTAGACCGATGTACAACCAACAATAGTCTAGTGTGAGGCCCCCACCCATCGATGACAATAATTTTGAACTCAAATAGGGAGTCATCCAAACCATTCAGCACAATTGCCTTTTCAGAGGCAAACCCAATGAAGATCCAAACAACCATCTAATGGACTTCGATGAAATTATGAACACATTTGATGTTCCAAACGTCAATACCACACAAGAGGGGGGTGATTTGTGTGGTACCCAATTTTCGATCTAGAAGAACCTGGTTCTTCTAGGTGTTCTAACTACTACTGTTTGCGAAATTAAAATACAGAAAATAAAAGAACACAAGGATTTTTACGTGGAAAACACCTGGCTCAAAAGGTGAAAAAACCACGACCTACTACTCAGTAGGATTTTCCCAAACATCCACTAAACTCAATGAGCCAAAAACAGCATTTACAAAACTCTTGTAAACCTAAGGATTAACTCTAATCCAGTGTGGCACACAGTCTCAACTGTTGCGACACTTTCAAGTTAACTCTAACTTGAATACTCAAAGTACCTAATACAATTGCTTCTATGAAAGCTAGAAAGGTACAATTTTTAAATCACCTACTACAATTGAACTAGAATAAGAATAAACACAATGGAACTGGTTCTTCTATCTTGTTCAAGTAGCTGCAGGCGTACACACTCATTCTCACATAAATTGCTCGCAAAATAGCCTTGCTCTTTTGCTCTCAATTTTGCTTAACTTCAGCGTATATGCATACCTGTAAAAGAGAACAACTCAGTTATTTATTAGATTAGTAATTAGAGTTGGATTGTAACTCAATTTCTGATCCTCCATTGAGTTTGAGTCCTAGACCAATCCAAACTCCAACCATTATCCGGATGTGTTCTCTTCTTATAAGGAGACATCTTCTTCTTATCCCATATGCAATCTTTTCGATCAGGTCAGAAGATATTGCTGCTTGATCCCCAAGGACTTATCTTCTTCACGTGCATCTCATGTGCATGGGCCATAACAACTGTGTCTCCTAAGATGGACCTGGTCCTTTACTGAGTTCATTTGTCATTCTTCAAAACTTCAACTGATCTTGGGCCAACACTATCTACTATTTACACTAGAAACAGGAACACAATTGCAACAAGAAGCTAAAATAGTATAGGGAAAGACAACCTTTTTACCCTTCAAACACATGGAAAAGAGGTAATACAGTCCCTGTTTGCTACTACCAATCACCTGAGGCCTCTTCACTGAAGGGGCCTGCAACAGACATAATGTAATACTAAAGAATACAACACATCTAAGGTGTACTGCAAGGAGTGAACACAAATCAAATTATATTTGAATGATGGAACATAAAGGACCCTATAAGACAATGTCTGAAGAAATTATCACATCTCCAAAATCAAGAATACTCTATATCCATTTGGCAGGCTTATCAGTAGAGGATAGGGTAGTGTTGTGATGTTAGTAAGGCATTTTTATCAAAGGTCATATGGTTAGATTCTCCTGAGTCTATGATCCAAAGGTCACCCTTTGATTCAAAACATTTGCATGAAGGTTTGTCAAAATCAATGGAAGAAGTACAGACTACAATACCTGCAAAGTTGATACTACCATTGGTGACATTGTCATTGCTGGAAGATCCTCCTGTATTCCCTACTTGAAAGTGTTGCAGTAAGCTCATTATCTGCCCATATTATTCTTTTGTCAGGTTGACATTCTGTTTTTCATCCTGTAGGTTCTGCTCATCCCCATTCTTATGAATTATATCAGCTGAAGTTCCATGTACATTTGCTATGGAGCCTTTTCCTCTGTTGAACTTGTGATTCTGGTTATGATTTGGATTGTTCCCCTGATTGTGGGACTGATTATTGGCACGATTGGGGTTCTGATTAGTGTATGAATTGTTTTGAGGGTATCCATATAACTTATAACACTTCTCCCTCGTATGCCTTGGTCTTTTGCAGTAGTCACAAAATGGCCGACCCCTGTTATTGTTGTTGACTGTGTAATGTGTCTTGAAGTTCCTGGCTCCAAGTGGATTCTGATGTTGTGGACTTGCATTCACATGCAATGAAGTAGACTCCAAGTTCAGTTGACTATTAAGTTTGAATTCCCTTTGTTTTTCTTCTTGTATTAGTAGAGAAAAAGCCTGTGCCATAGAAGGCAAAGGCTTCATCAAAAGAATACTCCCTTGCACTATTGTGTTGACCTCATTCAAGCCCGTTAAAAACTGGATAAAACGTCGATCCTGCTCTACCTTGTGCATAGTTTCTTTTGCTCCACACGTGCAGTTGCAACTACATTGAGATTTGGCACTCAAAGTGTTCAGCTCCTCCCACAATCTCTTCATCCGTGTATAGTACGTGGTAATGTCTAAGGATCCCTGAACAAGATCATTGACCTCTTTCTGAATCTGATATAATTTTTCCCATTTGTTTGGTCATAATGATCCTCTAATTTCCTCCACAGCTCGACTGAGTCATTCACATATTCTAAACTATCAAAAATTTCCTTAGCGAGGGAATTGAGGATCCACAAGGTTACCATGTCATCACACCTCTCCCACTGACGAAATTGGGGCGAATTAGGGCTAGGTTTACATTCCCCATTAATAAACCCTAATTTGTTTTTGACCAACAGGGCTCGCACCACACTTCTTCTCCAGGAACGATATCCAATTCCGTCGAACGGAACTGGTACTAAGGTCACTCCAGGACTATCCGAAGGATGAATGTAGAGAGGACTATCTGTATCGATGACCAATTGGTCATTTCTACTTGTGCCGGACGTGGTTTCTTCAGTCTGATCGATGGCCATGTGCGAAGCTCCGATTTGGTAAAATTAAGGAGTATATTAGTCTACTCAGCGAATAGATGAATCAATTAGGTCGAGTTTTCTCAATTTTTGGAAAAATTGCAGATTTGAAGGGTAATTGCTGAAACCCTAGCAAGCAACGAAAAGCAGACGAATTTGGGAACGAAGAATGGAGATGCTGACAGGATCCGAGCTAATATCCAAGCTCTGATACCATATTATGATTGTAAGCAAGCTCAAGACAATTGAGCTTCAATGGAGTTTTCAAGAAAATTCTGAGAATGAGAGAAGTGGAAGAGAGAGAGAGAGAGAGAGAGAGGAGAGAGAGAGAGAGAGAGAGAGAGAGAGAGTGAGTGAGAGCACTAACACGCATAGTACATTTTGGTATAATGAGAACTCTCTAATCAATTCCATTAGTTTTCCAAGTATATATGCATGTAAGTCAACTAAGCTAACTAACTATATCTACTAACTATATATTGTATAATGAATAATATGAACGGAGAATAGGATTAATAAGTATACTCAATAAAACCATGATGCATCACCAGATTTGGGTCTCAACAGCCCCAGTAAATATAAAATCAATCAAAGCAACCGACATTGATCGGAAAATTGTATTCAAGCTCGATAGTCAGGTTGTGTTCTTTGAACTTTTTACACTTAGGAATTGAGTCATCTTTTTAAGTGAAAGAAAGAGAAATCAACTCAATTTGGCTTCGACGCATCCTGAGTCATTAAAAAGTTTACTCGTTTGACGCTTGTTCCTGTCACTATATATATATCCATGAAATTATGCCAGATCTTTCCTGATATATAATTTAAAATGACATATGCTTTATTCCTTCTTAGTCAACCATTTATTTCGAAATGGGAATTACTTGGCGTTTGAACTTCCTTATGTATTCCACATTTGTTGATGTTATTGGAGTCAATTCGATGTTACCTACAGAATTCTCATTTATGTAAGGGTTCTCAAGCTTTACCAGAAGTTCCCCTCGGCTAGAATTTTAAAGAGAATTGACTTCTCCACAAAAGAACATAAAACAACTACGTTTGTCTTTGGTCAGTCAAAACTAATAAAATCAATACATACTTGTCGTATCAATCAGGCTAAACACAGATACCCACCAAACATGCATAGATATATTACATTAATTATTAGCTTACCTTGCACCATCTTTCTTACCTTCCATTCTATCTTTGTATCGAAAGGTCTAGTCTAAAATAGTCTGGATTTTGTTAGATTTAACTTTCTGGTAGAAAAGGGAAAAAAATGTCATACTACTGGATAGATGAGTCTACTACCTTCAATAATCTCTTTCTTTATATACGAGAAAATCTGTCTATTACTCAAAGGCAGAGGGCTCCAAAAGTGGATGTGATGAGACAACTTGGGAATCTTGGCGCCACTCTGAGACAGGTGGGTTGATTGTATGACCCTCCCGACGAGGACTTAGAGATGACCCGAACGAAAAGACTGCTCCGTCCCCTCGCCATACTTCTAATGATAATGATACACAAAAAGAAATAGACACAAGGATAGTAATATTCCATATCAGTAACATCCAACAGAAGTAGATGGATACAGCGTGGACTTGATGCAGAGGTGGATTAGTTGCAGTGCAAGACGAAGAGCGCACAACCGTGAGCTTTTACTGACATAGATACTGAATCCTTTATGGCTCCAAGATTTGTGGCACTCCATACTTCTCTGGCTGTGCACGTCGTAACATTTGAACTTCTTCTTCTAGCAGGAATTGCCTTGGCTATGTCTGATATCTTTGCTGACATATCCGTCACCTGGTTGTTCAAATTGAAGAAAGCCAAGTAGATTTCTCCTGAAATGTCAGGATAGCAATGTCAGATTGAAATAATGTACTACTAAGTAGTAGATAATTTCTATGCACCAACAGTGTGCAAGTCTTTTTACACCATCAAGATAAATTGAGCTACAATAATATATAATTTATACCCATCTAATAGTTGATCTGCAAGCTCTAATTGAAGTGGATGAAATGGGAGTTGAGACATTTGCAAGGATCTGTAACACGTGTAGGCTTCCATTTTATAGCTTTATTTATACCATACACCAACGTTCAGCCAATAAGCTCGTATCTATTAACACACAACAATAGTCTTGTTTCAAATTTGCTTAGTCCCTCAATCCCTATTATAGTCTTATCGATCAGGACTAGACTCTTTTAGTTTAACCTTAGGTACTCTTTTAAACAAGTGTGGAAGATCGCCTGCATCTCTTTAACTTAGATTAATTTACTGCAATTTCCATATTTATATCCCTTTTCATTCAGTCTTTCAATATTTAACAAATTAAGACTGTTTATCACTGCCATCCATTGAAGACATGTATTCTCCTTCTATGCTACTGAGATTCTGTCTCCTCTATGTTGGATTGAGTTTTGGTTAGAGAAATCATACCTCTCCTTCCAGTTGCAAGCCAGGACCTAACTCCACCAGACGAAGCTGCACGGAAGAAGAATCACTACATAAGCGATCTCTAGATTATAGAAAAGCAAGTAGACTGTAGGCAAGTTTTTCAGATGAAAACAAAATGACCTTTGACAATATCCAAGGAAGCACAAAGACCAGAATAACTATTCTTGAGTGTTCCATTGTTGTTCAACTCCCACATCTGTTATGAAAATATTAGCAATAAAGTTGGCCAGTGATTAGCAGACACCGTGGACTGAATGAAACTTCAAGAGTTTCTACTTTTTATTCAAAGAATGCACAGAACTTGTTCATGAAGTGCTGCTATCAGAATTGTTCATGGAAAGTCTGATTATTCAAACTAAATTACCTGGTTGGCATGGGATCTGCATCGTGAAAATGAACCTCTGCTCGACTCCTTGGATGTAAGCTTTCTATTTGAAGATGCACTAAAACAAAGTTCTGTTCTCTCTGTTACCAATAAGTGAAGCTTTCCGTGACTTTGGTGGTTATATACCATCACCCCCTCTCTGCATGAACAACAATTAGGATGATTGACAAAGATAGCATCAACAAAATCATGATTGAAGCAGATGAATCAGAGGAAGTTGAAGATATTTACGATGCTGAAGCTGCTTTTCTCTTGTATAGACAAAAAGGTGAGGTGCGATTATTTGAGCTCTCTTCCCAGCACACTTGCGCTACATCATTGTCAAGAACTTTAGTGGACCATCCATTTGCCTTCACATCTTTGCAGCTCCTGAGAACCAAAACTCTCGTCTCCAGCACACTCGTCTTTCCTTCATTCTTGGAATTGTGGGTCAAACCATGCTTTCCAGGTGAACTTAATGAACCTGTTACATAACGAAACTGCATTTACAAACATCAGCTTAGGATTGAATTATGTGCCTTAGTGAAGCCAAAAGTCGAATCAATTTATTCACATGCCTCCATGTTGTTTGAGCTAAACCAGTTAATCTCCAACAGAGTAGGATTTGTAAGAAGATTGAATGTAGTATCATCAAGCCTTCTCATATCTCCACCAAAGATGAAAGGGGACCTGACCATCGACCATAGAGTCACCTGCCAAGAAAGGAAAAGTCCATTGAATACAAGCCCGGTCACATGAGCTATGTCATATTTGGAGAATGGCTGCAGCAAAAGTACCTGAGTCCGTTGCTCATCCAGATTAAGCCTGCAATTTCTGTGTGGACCAAGATTTGAACCTGCAGCAAAATGGAGTATTAAATAATCTTCCGATGCCATATTTTCCTCTTTGTTTCGACCAATAGGAATGCATAAATCTCGTAGAAGAGGTAACTGGTGAACGCATTAACTAAATTGGTTCATATCTAAATCCTCACTACGTAAGCTAAGCACAAGAAATTGTAGGAGAAGTCGTATCTTTATTATATGAGGACTTTGTCCTGTTTAACATTTAGTTTTTAGCTTCTGCAAAAGATGTCTCTAGTTGGAGAAATAATCTGTATTCATCTCCTTAACCTATATAATATAGGGAGAACCTTGCGCTAATAAACATAAACCAACGGAGCCTGACTTTGCAGCGAACTGATACAGAATCCTTTCTGAAATGATGATATATTTAACAGTTTAACAAAGACGAAGAACAAAATAAATAGAAAAGTATTATCCTTCACCTGCGTCTGTTAGCCATCCAAGTGGTAGCATATCTAAGTCCGGCCACGACTTCCCCTTCAGGCCCTTGACTCCTACTAAGTTAGCAGCAGAAAAGTCCCTGCCACAAGCGTAAGGAGAAACCAATGTCAACAGTTAAATAAGAAAGTAGTGTCACAGCCAAATAACAAACCAGAAAAATAAAACTTGAGCCAAGACACAATTTGAATGTTAGATAAGCAATCCCAAATCACAATGTGACAAAAAACTTTTGGCAGCAAGCCTAGGAAAAATGAGAAAATCCTGACAAATTAGTAGAACAGATAGCACGATTACCTAGCAACATTGAAGTGCGCAGACACATCATTCCAATCATCCCAGTCATCACCGGTTACACGATACATGTTGACCAAACCACTTATATCCTTTGCCATGGTTGGTTTTGCATTAGTTCCCGGGGACAAGGAATATACGATAGGCCGTTTAAGTCCGTTCAATACCTACAGACAGGTAAACATTCTAACTTGCCATTATTACAAAAATGTATCAATTGAAAGACAAAAATGTTTCAGCCATTATGTTTACTTGCTCTTCTTTCTTTCTTTCCATTTTCCTTTTTCTCAGCTTTTCTTCCTTCCCCTTTTCTAGTAGGGTGGTGGTTTACAGCAAGTAAAATCATTTCGTAGCACCAATAGAAGGGGCAAGATGAAGTGCGTTAAGGAGAAGAAAGTTAGCAATCTTACCTCTGAAACAACAGTTATCTCATCTAAATCCAAGTCATCGCCGAATACACAGTCATGCTTCACTGAAGAAGAAGAGAAAACGGAAAGTTCCTTTAATATAAAGCACAGAAAACTCAACAGTTAAACAGTGATCTGGGATCCTTTAGCTTGGATGACCACAAACAAGGATTAGTCCTGCTTCTCAAAAAAAGTTTCCCTAGAAAGAAGAATCAATGGTTTTATGACATCAAAGTCTACATGGTTTCATGTGAAAATCAGACTCTTGAACACATCGACTCATCAGCATGAATTCATCATAACCCACCGAAACAGATGTTCCAATAAAAGTCTTGAGTTAACGAACATGTCTTACCAAAATCAACACCCCAGTCAGCGTATTGTTGATAAAGTGACCTAAGAAATGCTCTTCCAGCTCCCAACTTGGTATTCACACTCATGAAACCATTTGTCATCCACGCACAAGCCCTCTCCTTAATTCCTATATCTTGTGCACGCCATTGTCGACCAGCCTCTTCATAAGCTTTGCCCTGTTGGATGTATCACCAAGAAGTCAAGCATTTATCATAGCTACTAATATGTATTAAGATGAAGTTTATCAGCTATCATCAACACATTCGGATAAAAAATGGTATGAACTTGCCTAAGAAGCTGCATTTCCAGTCCAACGAAGTTGGACTGGATATATATCTACAGATAAAAGCACAAAGTTGAATTTGCATCTGGATAAAGAGCAATACCGTAGCGGTATCCAGTATGAGGGTGTTAGCATTAAATGCTTGTTTACTTAAACCTCTCATGACATGAATCCCAAATTTCAGGCCCATGCTATGAACTTTTTGGGCCACTTCAGAAAATCCTTTTCCACCTCGAGAGGAAGGCCATCTACCAGGGTCAGGAAGCATCCTTCCCCACTTATCAATGACGTCATAACCATACGAATCGGTATAAGCACCTTCTATTTTCTTCCTATACCAAAGAAAGTCCACCACAACATACTGCATAGAATCCAAAAGCAGACATAAATTTAGAGATGAAAGCAAAAAACATGTTGGAAGGGTAAAAGAATCTAATTAATTCTAGGCATTCTCATTGTGATGGAAGTCATTTTCTATGGAAATGTTTTCGGGTGTTTGGTGGTGACGAAAATATTTTGTGGAAAAATGTGGATTAGAGATTATTAATAAAAAAAATAAAAAAAGAAAAAACCAAATCATAGGAGTGTTTTGATGAAACTTTTGAGCACCAAAAACTAACAACAATGTCTAAATGTTTGTTGGAATAAATAATTTGAAGTTAAAATAGTTGCAAGGAAAATGGACAGAAGTAGGGCTTTCAAGCGGGTAGTGAGTCCTAAGTCAGAGGGGAGCAGGTCGCAAGGGTTGTATCCTCTCGAAATCCATTTTTCTGTTAACTAAACACCAAAAAATGGTTATCATGGAATATTTTCCTTCATACCAAACACACCCTTGAAGCCTATTTTTATGGTTCTTGTGAAAATAATACAACCTGATAACCATGAGCTTTTAGTCGCAGTGCTACAAGTTCTGCATTCTTAAGAAACTCTTCCTCAGAGATTGTCCAACAAAACGAGTCATAGGAATTCCAACCTCTTGGTGGTAAGCTGGCTTGTCCAATTTCACCTTGAGATTTAGTTTCCGAGGTTTCCCTGTGGTTAAGATACTCCACATATTACAATTTGATCATAAAAGAAAAATCTTTTCAAGAATACATGCAATTTATTAATGGGAAACTATTGAAAATCAATAATTACAAACTCATAAGTAAAAAAGTTGTTGTACCACCCAACTCTTAACAGCCTAACAGATGCCACTATGATGATAATACCCAAAAGATCAAAACTTGCATCCTTTGAGCAAATATTGGCCAAATGCTTCAGGATTTTTCGTTCCATCAAAAATAGATTTGGGTTTTATTTCTCCAGTACAGAACTTATTATCAATACCATTTTTGTTTAAAGTATACTCAAGTAGATAGAAAATATGCTGAAATTCGATGAAGTATGTGTCATAATACGTGATTAAGCTAGAAAACAATTATCAGAAACTAGCATAGAAAAATTCCAAGAAATGTTACAATGTCAAGAAAAACATTTGAATAAACACTATTTGAGATGCCTATGAATATCAAGCATACATGCATCAGAATTTCATTTAATCCATTCTTTTATTTTCCTCCAACACAGTACTCCTACCACTTAATTATAGCATGAAATTTATATAAAATGACAACATCCAAAGTGATTGATAGAAAAAATTACTAATGGTGAAAATAATAGGAGAAAGTAGTATAGAAAAGTTACCAGTGAAGAAAAAGAGTGAAGAAGATGATGAAAAAAGAAGCTTTCAAGATCATCCCTTTTCAGTGTAGTATTCTTTAAAATTAGAGTGATTTTTGAGTTTGGGGTTTTGAAGATTTATATGATAAAAACGAAAGGATTTATAATAATTATTACATAGGGGCCTGGCCTGAAAAGGGGGTTAGTTAAGAAGTGAGGTGGGGGTAAAAGATGATGTCTGAAAAAGTGTGATTGGGAATTGTAAAAATTTTATTTTGTGCCTCACACAATTAATAACTCTTTTTATCTTATAACTATGTGATTCCAAAATTTCTATGAATCGAAAAGTGTAAGATATTGGTCAACAAATATATGAGATAAAAATAGGCTTCACACAACTAATGTAAGTTGTGTGTGACACAAAATAAAATCACTCGTAATCATCGGATGGATACTGTTTGTCGGCATAAGCGGCAAGTGTCAGCAGACAAAGGTGCTGTTGCTATCTCTCTCTCTTTCTCATGTCTTTTTTCTGTTACGCATTCAGCACTAAAAGGGGCGGTTAGTAACATTAGGATCGATAATCTCTGCAATGAGTTGTTTTTATTCAAGTATCGCTAATTCTTGGTTTTTTTTTTCTTTCTTTTGGGCTAATTCTTAGATTGTTTTCTCACATTGCATGTATACTAACATTTGAGTCTTAAATTACACTAGTATTGGCAATCAAACGAAGTTTAAAATAATACTGAATTCTATATTAGGATTATTTCCATGATTCTGGTAATAAAGTGCATCTTAAATTTATTTATATATAAATAGAAAATACAGAAAATTTATAGTATTTTTTATTTTTATAATATTAGTTTAAGATGAGCTTAAATAATAAATATGATCAGTACAAATTTATATTAACGAACTTGAAACTGAGACTAGGTATTGTATGCATTAGCGCCGTCCATAAATAAATCTGTTACAAAAGTTTCCAAAGCATTATAAAGGCTACCTTACTAAAATCAAAAAGCGAGGCCGAGAAAATTAGAAAAATGCATCACAATTCACAACTAAAAGGGACATGCTAATTAATGACAAATGGAATTCCTAATTTTGAAGTAAAAACCTATTAATGACAGAGTTTGAGAGAAAACGAAAAATATTACGGTTTGTTATTGACTATCTTTTCAGAATAATATCAACTTTCCTCAAATAATTTAAGATGCTAATACTAATATTTTGGCATAAAATAGCTAAATCGGAGATCTTCACCCAACTTACCCTTATCTGTTAACCATTTCTTGAGTCTATTTTCAATAGCAAATTGTTAGCGTACGACTCGAGCTCCTCCCAATTACGTGTATTAGAACTTCTTTCATCACAATATGAAATCAAATAAAAAAATAAAAAATAAAAAGGTTAACAATTGTATCTTTTTCTAACAACTGTACCAGACGGAACTTAGACAAGTTAATAATTAGTAATTGATGGAATCAAATTTACAATCCGAGCCCCTTGAAAATATTTCAAATTATGTAAAAGGACACTTATTTTTGACCAAAATAAAAAAAAAAACAAAACAGTCACTTATTATGGGACTGAATGTAATAATAAATTATTAAAATAAATTGTACCATTTCAACTTACTAGCAGTATTTTAAAAAGTATTTTTGAGACTCCCCCTTGGGTGGGGCACTTGCAAAATACCCTTAGACTCACGAATGAGGCTTAATTCTGTGATGCTTACGTTCTAACACTCGATTATGTGCCCTAAACACGTCCAAGGCTCAATTCTCGGGGCTCTCCCAATTAAGGATGGTAATGGGACTGTGCGGATTAGAGAGTTCGCGAATGCGGGGCGGGGCGGCGCGAGTTCAATTATTTTTTTGAAAAAAACATGCAGGGCGGGGCGGGTCGTGGGTTAGAGTTCTCTTTTTTTTTTTTTCAAACAAAAACTTAAAGATCTAAAACGCTAAGGCCTTTCTTCTAAGCTAAAATTAAACCCCTATGCAGTTGAGATAAGGAAAACGTGAAATTTAAATTGATTGTCCACAACACAATTATAAATGAAGTAAGTATTGAAAAAACTTTCAAGTAGTGATAGGTGAGAACCCATGATTTATTGGTCAAACGAATTGAAAATGTCATTTGATTGACTTTCATACTGCTCAGACAAATTTATAAGTACTACTAGAACTATGCCAAGAAGCATTACAGTTACATTTGATCCAATATTTCCATAGGATGCCATATATTCTATGCTTTTGAAAATAGAGAAAAAATGTAACGACTCGGCTGGTCGTTTTGACTTATGTGTAAATGGCTCCGGAATGGAGTTTTGATTATTCTGATAGCTTCGTATGATGATTTTGAACTTAGGAGCGTGGCCAGATAGTGATTTGGAGGTCCGTAGTTGATTTTGGCTTGAAATGGTGAATATTGGAAATTGAGAAGTTTGACCGAGAGTTGACGTTGTGGTTATCGGGCTCGGATTTGGATTTTGGAAGTTGGAATAAGTCCGTTGTGTTATTTATGACTTGTGTGTAAAATTTGAGGTCAATCGGACTTGATTTGCAATGTTTCGTCATCGAATGTAGGAGTTAGTAGTTCATAAGTTCATTAGGCTTGAATTGGGATGCGATTCGTGTTTTTGATGTTGTTTAATGTGATTTGAAGCCTCGACTAAGCTCGTATGATGTTTTAGGACTTGTTGGTATGTTTGGTTGGGGTCCCGGGGGCTCGAATGGATTTCGGATGGTTAACAAAGTGAAATGGGACTTGAAAGACTACTGAAGTTTGTTGGTGTTCAGGTCTGGTTTCCTTCTTTGCGATCGCGTGGATAGGTTCGCGATCGCGAAAGCTTGTTTGGGCAGCTAGGATTTTTACTCTACGCGTTCGCGAGTTGAGGGCTGCGATCGCGTAGGTTAGTGAAGTAGTGAACCACGAACGCGTGGGCTAAGCCGCGTTCGCGAAGAGGAAATAAGGCAGGAGCTGAGTTCACGCGTTTTGTTCTTCGCGATCGCGTGATGAGGGGCGCGATCGTGTAGGTTTGAGGAGGCAGTGTGATCGGAGCCAACCCTACACCACTACAGAGTGGCGAGAGCGGTCGATGCAGCTTTTACCCGAGAAGGTCGGGATCAAATCCACAGGGAGCTGATTTGGGAATTGAATTCCTATCTAAACTAGCAATGCGTAATGCTCTTAATTACTCTTCCAATCATAATTGTTCGTTTTTTTACTTCTAATATTATACTATTGAGATGCTAAATTAAACTAAGAATAATTGCTTGAAAGGTTTTCTAAATAGGTAACGAGGCACTAGGGAAATGACTTTCCCCTAGGTGAATACTCGACGGGTTCTAAAGTCTAAGGCCAAGTTGTTATGTTTGGGATCGCGATATAGCCAATGCACGATTATACTCACTCTATACCTCTCGGTAGTTTGAGTGACTTTGCCCTAATTGACTTTCTCAAGACCAATAGGGTGTCGAAATTATGCAAGCAATGTAGGCTCAAGTCGGGTATTACTATCTCTAGGTTTAACCCTTTAATTGGGGCTATCAATCTCTTGATTACGCCCCAATTCCTTGTTAGACTGATTTCCTAGACTCAAACTCTCTTTCTCAAGAAGAGCCCAAGTCAAATAGGCACATAGTGTTTGCAACCACTAATCCAACATAGAAAACATAAATTAGTCCAAGTATCAACCACCGATAAACATCTAAGCCTTAAAACACAAGACGCATTAAATAGTCACACTAGGGTTGAGCCACAACCCTAGCTAATGGGTCTAGCTACTCATAATAATGGAAGAAAATAAATAATTAGATAAAGAATAACCCATATAATATGTTTACAAGCTAAGAATTAAAGATTCAATGTTGAACTAGCCACAAAATTACTCAAAATAGGTCCAAAATGGTCTTCACGTGCTCAGCTAAAAGTTAGATACCCTAAAAATCTGAAAAAGAACTATTTATACAAGGCCGAATTTTCTAGACAAAAATACCCCTGACGGAGGTACCGCGGACCGCGGAAAATGCACCGCGGCCGCGGTGAGGCTTTTTAGCTTCATTTCTCAGGCTCTGAATCTGGCCACCGCGGCCGCGGTAGCTTCACTGCGGTGCGCACAAAATGGACTGCGGCCGTAATGCCTTCCAAACTTCCAAACTCCCAGCTCTCTGAATCTCCTCTCCGCGGACCGCACAAAATGGATTGCGGCCGCGATGAGGCTACTGCGGTCCGCACAAAATGGACTGCGGCCGCAGTGCTTGAGCTTCCAAAATTGCATCTCTCTGATATTTTCCACCGCGGACCGCACTAAATGGACTGCGGCCGCGGTGGGTCTTCTGCGGTTGCAGTGGTTTTTATGCTGCAGCAGTGCCTTGACTTGTTCTTGGTACTTGAGCAAGTTTCACTCCTTTTTGAGCTGGTTTTGACTACTTGTCACATTTTTGACCAAACCATACAAACAAGTACAACATGTAAGCCTTTGGGACTATTTGTATACATTTCTAATCAAAACTCAAGTAAAAAGGAGTGTAAAATGAACTAAAATCCCTAGTTATCAACTCCCCCAAACTTAAACTTTTGCTTGTCCTCAAGAAAACAAAATAAGTCCCACCTCCTTAAGAATACAACCAAGAAAATTCAGCTGACCTAAAGTGACCTCATCTAGCATCAATTGGGACTAACAATTGCCCTCAATTCATATGAATCATTAACAACATTCAACCTTTTAAACACCATGTTTTAGTGCGACACAAAAGTAACAAGGATTGACTCAACTCATCAAGGAAACTCTTTCTACTACTTTGGTCATTGTGGAACCCAAACTCATACTCCTCAACTCTCCATAAGCAAACCTCACTTTTAGGTTGTAGCACTCAGAACAAAGATTGTGGAAAACACACTCATCTTTCTCAAAAAAAAATCACAAGTCCGGCTCTAAGTACCATAAGCTTTCCCCTTATGTGAGTCACCACTAATGTAAGCTTCATTCAACTCAAGATCATATAGGGTTTTTGTGGAGATATAGTGAAGGCTTTTGGTTTAGGGTAGGAAATATTTGGTCTAAGTAGGTTCCATCTTCCCTTAATCACTTCATTTGCTTTATTTTGGCACACATTCTCTTGACTTTTTAAGTCATTTACTTCTTTCTTAGGGGTTAGAGAGACACACTGTCACTCTTTCTTGTTCATTTCAAACCTTTTTCTCCTTTCTACACTTTCCACGCCTTTCATCACTTTACTTTTATTGAATCCCTTCGTTTCTTCTATATTGTTCATTCTTTTTGACTTTTTGATTTTCTTTCTTTTTCTTTTTGCCTTTCCTTTTCTTCGCTTTTGTACCTTTTACCACTTTGTTGCATTCCTCGTCTCTCCCCCCAAACTTATACTTTTGCCATGTGCTAAGGAAAGATTGGGTGCCAAGAGAGGGTCTTTTTAGAACGGGTAAAGGCTTGTATCGTGGTCTTTGAAGGAAAAAGGGCTATGGCTCAAAGGGGTTGACTAGGGACATTATCATTGGAAGGCTATGGATGTTTTCAAGATATCATTCGGATCAAGGAGAGCCTATAATTCTCAAGTCAAACTACACTTAGAATTTCGCGTAGACAAATATTCAGGGCAAGTTCTAGACTCAATGGCACGGGACTTGGACTTGCAATTCAAATCTCACCACACAAGCTATAGGATTGCTAAAGAGACAGAGTCGAGGGCCCACAACGCACAACGACCCTTGCTAAATTTGAGCCAATTCACATGGTCCCGAAAACCACTTGATGATTTGTGGCCAAACACAAGAGCTCAAGGTCAAACTATCACCATCCTATTACACACCGAATTGTTTTTGACCAATAAAGATCAAAGGCAAATTGTGGTTAGCCGCAATGAAGCTTTGCCTGAGACATATTCACTCACTAGCTACTATTTACACAAAAAAAAAAAGAAAACAAGACTCAAACCCTTAAGAAGGTTGTCATGTCATTCCAATCATCGGAAGAGGCCACCCGGTTCACACAGATTCCACCTTTGGAAAGAACCGTGGCATTAAGGAAAAACCAAAGCTTATTGCACGCAAAAACTCAAAATAAGAAGCTACCGAAAATGAAGAAGAAGCCTATGAAAGAAAAATGCGGAAAGTAAAAGAATAGTACAAATGGGGATTTAGACGAATATAAATAGAGGAAATGAAATATATACATCAGAAAAGTAACTTTATTAATACAAACCCAAGTTGCAAAGTACGAAAATGAACTAAAACTTGGTAAAATATGTACATACCAAAAGATAAAATCAAAGCATAATAAAACGAAAATAGTATCATATTTAACAAGAACCAAATTTCATCAAAATAGGGCTATCCCCCCTCAAATGAAATGCTAGCATTTTTGTCCCCCCTCAAAAATGCCTAACTAACCAAAATAGCTCAAACAAAAAAATAGAGAGTAAAGAAAACTCCCCTATGGTCCTGTCTGCATGGGATCCAATGAGCCTTAGGTCCATGGGTCCTTTGACTGCTCGAGAACCAGTGATGGATCCCTGAACCCGTGCCTGCATGGACTGAAGGTGCTCTGAGACCTGGGTTGGCTAGAAAGAACCTTCCCTACGGGTCCTCCAACTCTGACTGCATCATCGGTCGGGGGATCAACTCTTCCTCCTCTTTGGTGCCCTTTCCAACCCTTGTACGGCTCAGTCTGAGCTACTGGAACTGGGTCAGATGTAATAGAAGCTCATGGCAAGTGATCAGCAGCCTTCATTACTTCTCCACTATGCCCTCAACTCCTTCACGGACTCCCTGGAGGCTCGAGTCTTTCTCAGCTTCTTTGTCTCCCTTTTCAGCTCTGTCATATGCCTTCCCATGAGCACTAAAAGCCTCCAAATCGACTTACTTGGTTCTCAAGATCTCTGTCTGGTTGCCAGAAGCTCGCTTGAGAGTCTCCTCCACTGAACTCTTGGAACCCGTGGTTGTTGGGGGTACGACTGGGCTGCCACCGCCGAGGTAAAGAAGGCACAGATAGCTTAGAAGTAGTTGCCTGCATCCAGTTTGTTGATTACTGCAAGGTTTTGGCTCAAAACGGTAGGCAATCAAATGGGTATGCTGTGGATGAGGGAATATTCTGGAAGTAGTGGGAAGTAGAGGGTCCTGGGGCAACATCTGGTGTTAGTAGGAGTTGAGTAGAAGGGACTACTACTACTAGCTCTTCAGAATGCCAGGTAGAAGATAGTGCTTTCTTTTGATCTTTGTTTTTAAGGGTTGTCATCACTCTTTAGGCTTATTACAGGAGAAAGGCAGCTTTGGTTCACCTTCACATCAAACTTCCGTTTCTCTACCTCCAAGTCCTCAAAGTACATTGTCCAGGGAAATGTGGGAAGGATATGATCTATCACCTTCATTGCCACCCGTGATCACACAGACATGACATTTCGTGACATTGATCGGTGCACACCTGACCATAATTGAAGCCACCAGATTGCCCGGGAGATAGGCAGAGAGTTCTCATTGAGTAGTGGGGTCCAGCCTGCTGCACACGAAAGTCTCCCACCCCTTTGCTTCAAAGTTTAAGTTCTCCTCAGATATGGGAACTCTCTGCTGTCAACCATTGCTGGTCGGTGGTACCCGGGAGTGCAGGTATTCTGCCAACTCACGGACGGGCGCCTCATCCAATGGCCACCTTTTCTAAATACAAATGATATCTTCCTCCAAGAAAGCCCAAGTAGCAGTTGATTGTCTGCCCATCGACTTCACCTGTTCAAATTTCGCACCTAGTACTTTTAGGTGCCCTTAGTTTTGTATGTGGGCACATAGTGTAAAACTCATTACTAAAGTGCTTATTTGGCCTCCTCTGACGTCCCTATGAATATATTCCATCCCTGATCTCTCTCTGAATTCCTCTGCACATTTAGGGTTGTGAGGCAGAAAGGTCCCTCTCAATGTACTTTCCTCTCTAGTATCAATTCCTCTCGGGCCACCACGTCTCTGGAACTTGTGGTATGCTTTCCTCACGACGAATCTATTCTGCAAGCATCCAGGTCTCTAGTTCTCTTTCAC